AGGTTGGTCATATGATTCAAGCGGAATCTGATCCCCATAAGAGGGATGAATACTTGCAGAGACTGATGGAACTCCCCAACCTGGTTTGTCATGGATGAACAGTTGCCTTTTTGTTTCTCTCATATGCATGCATGTGTCTGTGCCATTGCAGGCAAATATGGTGAGGTTGTGGTGGTAGCCTGTTTCTTATGATGTTGCTTGTAGTGCAGAAATGGAGTGAAATTATAGGTCAGGCACGCCAAAGTGTTGACTTCCTTAAAGATCAGGACGTGATAAGAACTGTGCTAAACATATTGCAGGTATTCTTATTTTCATGTGAAGTGTTTTCTTCATTTCTTTTGTTGAATTTTTATAGAGCATAATGGACCTTTTTAATTTTCCATATTGTAGTCAGGGACCTGCCTTTTGCTGAAATACAAACTATGTTTTTCTGTACAGTTTCTATTGCATTGTACAAAATGAAAAGTAGAAATTTAAATGGTAGTTCTTGAAAGTTTGTCGTTTATATGGAGGTGGGATTCTTGATTGCTATGATAATTTAATGGCTTATGTCCGTGTATCTGTTGACTGGATTCTTTGGTGGTGGATTAGTGCTAATCTTTCCTTGCAGACTTGATGTATCTGATGTACATTCTGTGGTTATAGTTCCATCCTTATTGGGATTTAGTGAGACTTAGAATGAATCTTTTCACTTTGCAGACAAATACTAGTGTGGCCAGTTCTCTTGGAACATATTTCTTAACCCAGATTTCTTTGATTTTCCTGGACATGCTCAATGTATACAGGTAAAATTTCCGATTTAGTAGTTCAAAATGCAAGTTTGAGCATGGAAATGCAATAAACTTTCTTCTTGCTAATATGGGTAATTTATGGTGCTGTAATAAATTGAACAGAATGTACAGTGAGCTTATATCAAATAGTATCGCTGAAGGTGGGCCCTTTGCATCAAAAACATCCTATGTGAAACTTCTTCGGTGAGACCAATTTTTACAGACATGCTTTTGTTTTTTCGTTCAATCAATACTTTCTTGTTTTTTCTAATGTTCTTTATGAAGTAGATCTGTTAAGAGGGAGACACTTAAGCTCATTGAGACATTTTTGGACAAGGCAGAAGATCAACCACAGATTGGGAAACAATTTGTGCCCCCAATGATGGATCCAGTTCTTGGTGACTATGCTAGGAATTTACCTGATGCTAGAGAATCTGAAGTTTTGTCACTTTTTGCTACAATAATAAACAAGTATGGTACCACTGCATACAGTTCCATTTATATGATGTAATATTGAACTAATATCAACAACTTGTTGACTGTTGTTGAGTACATGAAGCATTTCTTTATCCTTCTTGAGAGTCGGGTGGCTTTGTTGACTATTACTTACTATACCACTCAATCTTGTATGTCTGTTGTTGATATTTCTTCTAAGGTCCAGCTAGAAGGATATGGAAAGCCCTTGTCTTTGCACATTAATCTTACCAAGATTAATGCAAATAGTTATATTTTTATACATTGGTGCTTTATTACCATATGCTCTGACCGATATCAGTTCTGTGTTGAACACTTTTAAGCTTCACTGGTTACTAAATTGTTTAAGGGGCAACATTTTTTTTTGTGCCTAAAACATGCATTTACCTTCTGTTTATCGTACATATACTTGCTGAAGTGATGTCATTTCTTTTAGGTTTTGTTATTTTTGTTGTCACTTTTAGTATCAAATCTTTGAATTTCTTATATTTTGGTCCTGTTATTTTTGCATGAAGGTATAAAGCTGCAATGATAGATGATGTTCCCCGAATATTTGAAGCTGTTTTCCAATGCACATTGGAGGTGAGTCATTAATTTATATATTTATTTTATATGTGTGCTACTGAAAGAAGGAAGAGCTCATGGGGGATGGTGGGATTGGGTGTTGTCTAAGCCCTCTGTAAAGCTTAGGGTGTGGTACTACCGGCTGAAGCTTGTATTTGAATAGGAATTTTGTTATTGTGTTAAAGTCACTAGAGATTATCAGAACAAGCATGAAAAGAAGGCATTTTAAAGTTCTGGTTACATGTCACTAGATTAAAAAAGGTCCCTTCTGTTAATTTTTGTTTTTTATGGAGGAATTTTTCTAGATCATTTCTTGTGTCCTTGAGATTTGATAAAATCTGGATTCACTATGTTGTGATATGGCTGATAGATAACATTGTCAGAACTGCATTTTTTTTTTTATAATATTGTTGCTGAAAGTCTGATGCTGGTTTAAAGATGGCCAGTTAAAGTGGAAATGTTATAGTTTATTCTTAAGTTGCTTTGCCTATAATTTATTGTTGCCATGCCTTGCAGATGATAACCAGAAATTTTGAAGATTACCCAGAACATCGCCTCAAATTCTTTTCCTTGCTTCGTGCCATTGCTACTCATTGTTTTCCTGCACTTATTCTGTTGTCAAGTCAGGTTGGTGTTGGGTTTCTTCTCTTTTCTGATCTATTATAACTGTCCTTTAATTAAAAACATGAAATATTTCTTTTACTATCTCTTTAAATTTCTGTTTCGGTCTAAACTTTTACTATTTCTAATGTCAGTTATTATATCTTTTGGATATTAGAAAGACTTTCAAGACAATCATTTGTTTATTACTATTTTTTTTTCATGCATCTGCATCTGCATCTGCATCAGCAACTAAAGCTAGTAATGGATTCAATCATTTGGGCATTCCGGCATACAGAAAGGAATATTGCTGAAACCGGTCTAAATCTTCTGCTGGAGATGCTGAAAAATTTTCAGGTCTGTTAGTGTTGTGGTTTTCCTTGGTTGATAACTTTGTTGATATAGGATGCTGAGTTTTTTGTTTTGGTACCATGACAGGCTTCTGAATTTTGTAACCAGTTCTACCGAACATACTTTTTGACCATTGAGCAAGAAATTTTTGCCGTCTTGACAGACACATTTCACAAACCTGGCTTCAAGTTGCATGTCTTGGTTTTACAGCATCTGTTCTGCCTGGTAAAGTATTTAACTGTGCGTTAGATTGTTCTGATTTATATCAGTTTAATCTTAGTTGATGAATTATTTTCAGGTTGAGAGTGGTTTGTTGACTGAGCCTTTGTGGGATTCTGCTACGGTTCCATACCAATATCCAAATAATGGAACATTTGTTCGTGAATACACAATAAAACTTCTGAGTACATCATTCCCCAACATGACTGCAGCTGAGGTATGATAACTGGTTCATATCTAATTGATTATTCTTTTTACTGAGTCATATCTCTGATCTATTGATTTCAGGTCACTCAATTTGTGAATGGACTATTAGAGTCGAGAAATGATGTGTCCACATTTAAGAATCACATACGGGACTTCCTTGTGCAATCAAAAGAATTTTCTGCTCAGGTAAAGCTTTGAAAGAGAAAAAAAAAAAAAATACTTTGCTAAGAGATCTATCTTTGCTAAACTGTTATTTTTAGTTGAAATTTAGAAGTTCCACTGTATGATGAACTAATCATTCAGCTGTACTTTCTGCAGGACAACAAAGATCTCTATGCAGAAGAGGCTGCTGTACAGAGGGAAAGAGAGCGACAACGGATGCTTTCTATCCCGGGACTCATTGCCCCAAATGAGATACAAGACGAGATGTTAGATGCATGATGTGACTAATTTTTCCTTGGAAGCTAATTTGTTAAATTTTGACTTGGGAGTTAAGGTCGCACCTCAGTTTTACGACCAATATCCCGGAATTTTAACAGATTTCTGCCATTGTTTCTCATCACTCCCCAAACTTTCCATTTATGTTGAAAATGGTGAATCGGAAAGTTGCCATTGAACTCAGGTTTGGGTGCTGGAGATGCTGCCTACATGTCTATTGGTGATGTGTAGAATATCAAGGTGTCTGGCATGGGGATATTTATCCGATCGAGTCATTATACGGGTTTCCTAGCTGCAGCTTGATACTTGTATTGATCATGATGGTTGGGAAGCAATGCAGGCTGTTTAGATGACTTGCTTTTAAGTATTGTTGATTCATCCTAGGTTAAAAGGGAATACTAACCTAGGAGGGTTGTGCAGAAATTTTTTTCCTTCTGCTTTTTTTTTTTTATTTTATTTAAGTAGAACGCCATTATTATGTGTTTCAGTGTTTCGCTACAAGGCTTTTGTCCTTAGTTCTTTACTTTATAGTTTCAAGTGAAGATAATGTACTTTTACGTAGTTAAATATACTAGTTTCTTTTAAATTATTGGTTCCAGTTTTCTTATCTGAAGCGCGGAGTAAAAAACTTTTATTATTATGTAATCCCAAAAGTTTTAACCATTGACCATGAGGGAGAATTTGAAGGCATGCTATCAAACAAATTGCACAAAGCGCAACGCAGTTGGCCCAGATAGCCCTACTAAAAAAATCAAGTCATTGTCGGATTTAGATAGATAAATGGTTATGAAATTAAACATATTGGAAGGGACAGGTTCGAATATTTTTAGGATAAATGCTTTTACAACTCTAATAAAAAGAAAATAATTCTTGCCAAAGAAAAAAATTTTTTTAACATCTTTTAAGCATCTTACTAAATTTTTATTTTGGGATAAGTAAAATATTTAAAGAGTTAATTTGAATTATATTAGAATTATAATTTTTTGGACAAATAAAAATCTAATTTTTAGATATTCACTAAAACGATGTCATCTAATTGTTTTTTTTCAAAAACATGTAATAAACCCTCATTGACTAATTAATTAGTAAAAATAAAAGAAAACAAAACAAAATTTTGAAAATTGAGTAAAAATAAATAGAAAAGAAAAGAAAACCAATCAACCACGTTTAATAGCTTTAATTCTTCTTCCTTTTTTTCTAATGTTTATTTTTACTTTAGTTTAACTTAATTATTAATTTTAAATAAATGGACTGAAGTGATTAAATCAGTAAAGAGAAATGATTTGATATGAAGGGCATATTTATTTTTATTTTATTTTTTTTGCATTTGATGATATTTGGGATTGAACCTGATATATATTTAAAACCCTGGTCTCAATGCAAAGAGGAAGTTTTCAGGAGAAGGAAAGTAATGACAGGACCTCATCTCCGATATTCCTACGCCTGCCGGTGAAAGCTCTTTTACGCTTCCGATGCCTCTCCAAATCTCTTGGCAGCGAAATCGACAGCCCTGATTTCAGCATTGCTCATCTCAAGCAATCACAAAAAGCTAAAAGCGGCCGCAAACTGATTTATAGTGAAACAAAATTTATGTATCCTGATACTGGTATATATGCTGTTGATTTTGATGATTTGCTCGGTGGAGCCATTAAATTAAACAACCCTTTGAAATCGAATATTGGCTTCACTGAGGTGCGGTTGCTGCAACGGTTTGGTCTTGTTGCGTAAATAAAAAATAGAAGTTCCGTTGTGGAATCCCTTCACCAGGAGGTACAAGAAGAAGTTACCAGTTTGCCCAGTAAATTTGCCTACCGGTTCTATTAGGTATTCAAGCCTTTTTGGATTCGGATACGACTACGCCGGCGATGACTACGTTGTCGTACGGATTGAACAGTATTTTGTCAACTACGGTTTTGCAGTCCAAGTTTGGGTTTTTGATTTGTCCTCGAATTCATGGAGAAAAATTGAACCTCATGATTGTCCTGGAAAGTACTATTTTCGCTTGCTAGACGATCAAGGTGTGTTTGCAAGTGGGGCATTGCATTGGCTGTCGAATTCATCCAGACATGGGTGTGATGAGATTGTTAGCTTTGATGTTTCAAAAGAGAAGTTTCTCAGAGTGTTTCCGCTAGTTCGACCCCACGAAGAAGGTTTCACTCTTTCCTTGGAAGCTTTGGGAGGGGACCTGATTTTGTGTTCAAATTCAACAGAGTTTTACCCAGATGAGATGTTGTTTGGGCTGGCTTCATTGGAAAACGCTTTGCTTGGAAAAAATTGTATGGGTGCCATCATTACGAAGTCTAAATTTTAGAAGTACGCTGAATTTGTGAAGCCTTTGGAGTATTCAAGGGATGGAAACAGGATTCTATTGCACTCTGATTGTGGAGATTTATAGTGGTATGACCTTAAACACAAAACAATCGTGGGGTTGGAGATTCTTGATTCACCTAGGGTTTCTGATGTCCTTTGTTTTTGTTGGGTAAGTCTTGTTTCGCTCGGTGCTGGTAGTGAATTTGATGGGGTGGGGATCTGCTAAGCTAATTAATTGAATGATTAGAGGATGTTATAAGAGTTTCTTTAATTCACAAACTATTCAAAATTGTTTTCCATGTTAATTGTTAGCAAGTTCATTGACAAGTACCGCTCAATTTAGTTACCTTTGCTTTTGTGGTTTTTCTCTAGTTTTATGATTTTTGAACCGGAAATTAAAGAAAAGTATTAAAGCTTATAGTATTGTAGATGGGATTAGTTATTATGGCATTGAGATTTAGTATTACAATGACGAAATTAAATATTGATAAAATTAAAATTAATAATTAAAATATATATTTAAATAAAAATGTCATGATGATGGTAAAATTAAATATGATAATTAATTACTTTTACTAAAATTTTTTAATCTTATACAAAGACAATCAATTACATTAGAGCTTCAGTTAAAAATTGGAAAAACGATGCAATTGGAAGCCTTTAATCACATTGCTAATGTGTTATCTAAATGCATCCTAGACCTTCAGTTTGAAAATGCGATAAAATTCAAATAGAATTTTAATCGCCCTATATTTGATTATGTTTTTAGTATTTAATTATGTTTGATTGTCAACTAATTTATCACTAATGTTAGGGATGTTTTTAGTATTTAATTATGTTTGATTTTTAATGCTATCTCTTTACAAAATATAATTAGCCTATGTTCTTATAATATCCTCCCTAATTAATTGGCATAAAATTTAAGATTTAATGGGCATATATAAATAAAAAAATTTGTGTCATCAATGGAGCATTAATTTAGATGATATGATATGTGATGTAATTTTTAAAAATTATGATTAATTTAAAGAATATAACATGTGATATAGTTTTTAAAAATGATGAATTCAAAAATTGATACATGTAATATTTTTTTCAATAAATTAAGTGAATACATAAATGTGCCAATTAAATTCTAAATAAGAAACCTATATGCCCACAATTAATCCAAAAAATAATTATAGTAGTTTTTTTTTTTTCACTCACAATTACTCAAAGATTATGAAGTAATTCCTTCCTACAATTGAGAATGATAAATTTGTTTCTGGCCCCCAAACAATATAGAATTTAAAAGAGAGAAAAAAAAAAAAGAAAAAAGAAAGTAGTTAGATTTTGTTGCGATTTGAACATGTAAAGGACTAAGGGCTGATGTAACATTCAATGAAAACCATACCAAACGAATGTTTAGGTCTTTAGGATTTCAACTTTGACATTGTATTCAACCTATCCAAGATGGTTAAACCAAGCAACAATAAAAGAAATTTTTTACGCATTCAATGAAAACCATACCAAAATGATCAGGCTTTTAGCAATTTCTCGCAACTTGAATGTCATTCTCCATCTCCAACTACAAAGATTTGGCATTCGAGCTTGCCAAAAATAAGATCAATTCGAAGGGTATGCATGAATCAAAAAGACCCCAGAATTCCAAAAAGGAGTTCAAATATGAGTGGATGCCATAATCCACAGCTTTTGATTCTTCAATCGTAATCCTTCCTCTTTCTTAGGATTGCAAATGAATTTCCAGCTCACTTTTGCAACTTTGGCATTATCTTCCCTACTTTTTCCATAGAAAAGCTTGAATCCAATAAGAGGATCTATATTTGCAGAAAAAAACTTCAGTCTCAGCATTATTTAGTTGCAAACCAAAACATGATCCTTTGCTCCATTCGTAAATACCGCGAGATCATCTGCAAAATATAAATGTGTCAATTGCACTTTTTTATGATTAAGATGATAACCAAAATTTTTTTTGTATTTGTAAATATTCACTATAAGTTTCAAAGTCGATTCACATTTTCAACTTAATATGTAAAAAATGTTAAAAGAATGAAAGTTTTTATAATTCTTTCAAAAGTTGTAAATGCATAAATCAGAAATTTGTAAAATGAATAAAATATTTATTGGACAAATTGTACGTCTAGCCACTAAATTTTTTACCAATTTTTATTTGTTACCAAATTATGAAAAATCATGATTTGGTCACAATCGTTTCATAAATTTAATTTTTTTAATTATTCAACGATTAAAATTAATGATTGATCAACATAATTTTGTACATCATCTGACATTCATTATGTGATATTGTTATATCATTCAATATATTATGTGACATTGTCTACGGTGGTATTGCAAATTTTTTAAAAAATAAATACATTTTAGATATTTTAAAAATAAAATTATGTGTTTTATTTAAATTTTAAAAAAATTTTATTTTGATCACCTAACTTTTAAAATGAACAATTTAATCACTAACATTTGTAAAGTTTATTAATATTTTGATATTTATTGCCAATATCTACTGCCTACTTGTTACAAAGATTAGTCATCAAAATTTGTAAAATTTAATATAATAAATTATTTTATTTTATCTATTATTGATATTGAAAATATTTAGATAATACTCAAATAAGTTTTCGAATCTACAAAAAATTGTAAATAATCCCTTTATCTTTTATTATATGAAATTAAGGATACCAACTTTTATAAAGTAGATTTTATAAAAAGGGCACAGAAAAAAAAAAAAAAAGATAAGCAACAATTTTGATAAATTTAATTTTTTATAAAAATAATTTTATTGAAAAAATAATTTAGTTGTTGAAAAAATTAATTTTAATTTTGAAGAACATTTTTTGAAAAAATAAATTTAATTCATAACTATATAAATTATATATTATTTTAATAAAAATTGTAAAATATATTTATAGCAAAAAATTATAATTTTAGATTATATCATCATATCCTATTCTTAAATTTCAAAAAAAAAAATTGAAAAGATATTTTTTCAATATAAATATTAAAAATAATAAAACTTTAATATTAATTTAAAAAATATCGTCATAAAAGTAGTGGATATTAACCATAAAAATCAAAATATTAATAATACGATTTTTCAAAAATTAAATAAAAAATAAAAAAAATTGGAAACTTGAATGATTAAATGTGTAATTTATTTTTTAATCTTCAGAATTGATGGCCTTAAAAATTTATAAAAATTACATATTTCATTTCCGACCACTGACAGGAAACAGCTTCGAAAGAAAAGAAAAGGGCAAAATGAAATTCAAAAATCAAAATCAGCCATCCTTCGGTTCAGCAAACAAAGGCGGCCTTCTCTCTCTCGGGAAACACTTTCTCTTAAAGCTGATCATTCTTATCATTACAAAAAATCCAGGCCCCAGCTTTTTTTTTTTTTAACTGGAAATTTCTCTCTCTGATAATCCAAATCTCTTAGCTTTTTTGAGAGAGAGAGAGAGAGAGAGAGAGAGAGAGAGAGAGAGAGAACAGAAATTAAAAAAAAAAATCAAAATCAGAGAGTTTTTTTTTCAAGGGTAAGAATCGAAAATAAAAAAGGCATGGGTCAGGCTTTTCGCAAGCTCTTCGATACCTTTTTTGGTAACACAGAGATGAGGGTATTTTTCTCTCTATTTATTTATTTTGTTTGTGATTTACTATTTCTATCTCGTTTTATTTTTTCAACTGATTTTTTCGTCATCCTTAGGTTTTTTTTTTACCCGATTTTTCTGGTTAATGTAGTGTTATAGAAACTTCTTACCATTGTTATTATAGCTTGAAAGCCATAAAAAAAACGATGTAGTTTTGCTGAAGATCTTATCTCCGAGTAAATTCTGTTAGAAACTGACTAAAATTTTCTCCAATTGGTTAATGAAATCAATTTGTAGGTGTCTGTAAATTTAGCAAAATCTTTTCATTGCTTTTTATTAAATTGTGTTTAAAAAAATGGGATCAACCTGTGACGTAGAAATACAAATGCGTGATTGTATTAGGATTTTTGTTTCTTGGAAAATTTGTCACTGTTGGGTGTTTTGAGGAATGTGTTTTTATCTAAGTACCGTTGTCTGCGGCATCAGAAACTCGATATTTTTGTTGGTTCTGTTACATGGGAGTGGTAAAGCCAGGTGTTTTATGTCATAAATTGAGTTGTATGCTGCAAGTATTTACGTTATCATGTTGTTGGTAGAAAAGAAAATAGTCCCAAATGTCTTCACTTGTCAATATTTGTTATAGCTTGTTCTGGCTGGAATGAGATAAATGAAAAACACACCAACAATTGGATGGTTCAACCTTTAATGGTATTGAGAAGTTACAGTAACTTAACTCACCACCATTGGTTTTCTTCACTCTTGAAAAGGTTCAACATATATGTACCAGTGTGCACAACTTAGACATTTGTTCTTGTTTTCAGGTTCTATTACTAATAGGACGTATGGCATAATAGATAATGAAGAAATAGAGCATTTAAAGTTGTCTGACCTTTCCATTTGTTGAGTCCCATATGCATCTAATTATGGGTTATGTCTTTTAAATTGGTCAATGTATTGGAAAAAGTCCTCTCGTGAAGCCATTTTTATTTTTTATTTATTTTGTGTTGTTTTCTTTCTTCCTTTTCTTTAAATTATCTAGTTGAATGTAGTAACAAGAAATAATTGGATTTTGTTAATTAATTGTTGTTCAGTATAACTAGTGCATCTGATATTTTGCCATTGAAGATGATAATAATCCTGTTAAACTAGATATTCTAGCCAGTGGTAGAGGAATCTTAGTGCTGTTTAGATATATCTTTTGAGTGGTTGTCTTATCTGGAAAGTATATAGTATTTATTTTTGAATCAATTCCTGAAATAGTTATCTTATGCATCTGTAATCGTGAAGCATGTAATTGCACTGATACCCATTGACATCATTTAGGTTGTTATGCATTCCTAAAAAGGTTTCTAATGTCTATGGTACATGCGTTATTATATGCTTATTATGTGGAATT